GTAATGTCCCTCACGGGCTTGTCGTAAAGACTCTAGGTGAGTTCACTGAATCCTCATCAAAGCCTGGCCTGGCCCATATGATGGCGCCCGTTTTACAGATGAGGGTCAGGGAGGAAGAACTCCCTGGCCCCGGTCGCCCACAGTGAGGTCCCAGCTCCATGGCTCTGTCCAAAGGGGGAAGGCCTGACAGTGCCTGTCGGGACGGGCAGGGCTGGGGCAGGACAGAGGTGCCGAGAGAGGAGCCCGGCCTCCCTCAGAGGCACAAGCCGCGTCCAGAGGTGGCTATAAATACGAGAGGCGAGGGGCTTTCTAACTAGGCCAGGAATGTGTGCTAATCATTGAGGTCACCCAGGCCGCGGCAGCTTTCTTCTGGAAAAAGGTGTTTCCAGGAGTGTGTTGTCCCCATGAGTGTGTCCCTGAGAGCGGAGAAGGGGGAGGGCAACAGGTGTGCCCAGAGAGGGGCTTGCTGGCACCCAGCTTTTGTCATGCGGCGGGGCCGACCCCCGGAATGCCTCTCCTCCCCCTTGTGATCCCCCAAAACCCTCCTGTAACTCAAATCAGATCGACGGCCTCAAACCCTCCCACCGGCCGAGGTCACAGCTGCGGCTCACCAAGGGCAGGCCCAGGCTGCTTTCTGGGGAGTGAGCGCTTATTTTATTGTGTTTGGGGAAAAACACAAGTGGCCAAGCAAAGTCATGATCTCATGGCTGGGAATGCCTAAGGTTATAATGAGAAGGTATATGTATCTGTGTGTCAGCTGTGTCGATTCTTTGTGACCCCATGGACTGTAGCCTGCCAGGCTCCTCTGTCCTGGGATTCCCCAGGCAAGAATAGTGGAGTTGGTTGCCATTCCTTTCTCCAGGTGATCTTCCTGACCCAGGGATCAAACCAAGGTCTCCTGCACTGCAGACAGATTCTTTCCCATCTGATCCACCAGGGAAGCCCAAGAAGTTGTATACTTTTTTAAAAGGGAGTTGATTTAAAGAAGAATGTGAAGTGTGTGCTATACCCATGGAGCTGGCAAGCATCATTCCTGACAGGTGCAGGCTTCTGGTCCTCAGGCAGACTGCTAACCTCCCCCACCCCGCAGTGGGGTTCCAGTGGTCTCTGCCAGTCTCACCCCACAGCCCAGCCCTGCCCTCCCCAAACATCCCAGGCACTTGCACCCGGCCCCACCTCCAGTCTCACTGGACCTGCTGCCTGGAGTGCCTCTCCCACCCACTTTTCCTGGCAAGGACCCGGAGAAATGAGGTCTTGCTTGAAACCTCCCCCAGGCTGCTGTCGGCCCTTGTCCATCCACAGCCATTCCCTGCCTGTGTGAGCGTCACCGTGGCTGGGACCATGGCTCCCCCAGTGATGGGGAAAGCAGACTCTCAGGGGTTTCTGTCCTACCTGCTCTGCCCAGCTGACTGCCTGGAGCCGACCCAGGAGGGAGACGCAGGTCACATCCTGTAGCCATCAGGGCCTGGTGCCTGTCTGAGCGTATGCACCCTCACCCGTCAGGTGGGGACACCAACTTCCCTTCTCCCGCTGGGAGTCAGTGAGTGCCCTCCATCTAAGGGCATATGCCTGCCACGTCGCCTCCACTCCACAACCACTGCCCTGATTATTAGCATCCTCAGCACCATTGACATCACCAGGGGCTGATGGATATTCAGGAAGGGAGTCCACGGTGGTACAGGGTGGAAGGTAAGGAAACAGGAAGAGGGTATCTTTGTACTTAGGATTGGGGCTTTCCAGGTGGCATTAGTGGTAAAGAACCCACCTGCCAATGCAGGTAGACATAAGAGATATGTGTTCGATCCCTGGGTTGGGAAGATCCTCTGGAGGAGGGCATGGCAACCCACTCCAGTATTCTTGCCTTGGAGAATCCCATGGACAGAGGAGCCTGGTGAGCTTCAGTCCATACGTCCATACAGAGTCGGACCCAACTGAAGTGACTTAGCACGTATGACTTAGGATCAGGAGAAAGTTCTCAGCACTTACTGACTCCGCCCTTCTTGTTTTGAACACGGGCAAACTGAGACCCTAGAACCAGGGCCCAGTCTCCTGCTACTACTCCACCGCCATCTCCCTCCCCAGGCCTGAGGAAGGCAGTGACTACAGCCAGACGGGCTCACCTGCCCAGTGAGATACCGCAGGCCTCCCGAGCTGCCCAATAAGACCCAGGGAGGAATTCCAGGGTCTGCAGCAGCAGGATTTTCACTTTACCTGGGCAGTGAATTGAAAGCCTCCTTCAATAGGTAGGAGCAGATGTGACCTTTGTCATTTGTTATTTTTAGCTGAGCAGGCAGGGAATGATAAAAACCTGTACGGGAGCTGACTATAAATAACCTGCCTGTGACGTGTTTTTTGTTGGTTTTTTTTTTCCTTAACACATCTAAAAATTGTAGATTTCAACAAGCATTTCCCTTCAAAGCAAAATCATAGCATTAGCATGGCGCTTTACAACCAGGGCTGGCCTCACCCCATCTATGGCTGGGGATCACAGCAAAAGTCCCTGGGGCAGACACTTCTCTCCTCCCCATCCTGCAGATGAGGAGACAAGAATGAGCCGGGCCAGGGGAGCCATGGGCATGTGCCTGACCCATGACAAGAGCCTGATTTGTATCACCGCCTTTGGCAAGGGGTCTCCAAGAGGCCGAGGAGCTTGTTCTTGGTCACAGGGGGAAAAGGGTCAGGGCCAGAACCACGTCGGGGCCACCTGGCTCCAGACGCAGAAGGTCACTGGCTGCTAGTGGGCCTCATGGGGCTGGAGGAAGAAGAAGTGGTCATGCACGGATCAGAGGAGTGGGTGCCGGGCGTCGTGGAATGAAAATTCTGAGCGAGAAGGTGGTGGCCAGGGGTGCTGGAGGCTGAGAAGAGGGCTGTGAAGGTTCAGAAAAGGTGGCAAGGAAGAGAGAAGGTAACTGGCTGCCAGCCGCATAGGGCTGGACCTCACCAGGCTCCCCTCATCTGACACTGAGATCCCTTTGGGCGGAGTGGCCATCCTCGGCCAGCCCTGAGGCAGAGGGAGACTCAAGAGCGGGTTGCCAGTGCTGGGGGTGTGCGAGGGCGGCCGGGTAGTGGGCAGGAGCAGGTGGGAGGGAACCAGGGCAGAGGGGGTCCCGAGACCCCAAAGGAAGGCACTGGAGGCAAGCAGTGTGGCGTCCTGGCCTGGGCTTGGGGTGAACTGGGGAACGTTCTAGACCAGCTCAGAGGGAGGCAGGTGCCCTGCTGTGCAGAGTTTGCTGGTGTCTGTGGGGCAGATGCAGATTGCAGGCCACCAGCGAGTGGTGGCCATACACATGCTCAGTCCATGAGCCAGTCCCAGGGACCCCAGAGCACCCTGGGCAAGACTGCTCCATGCCAGCCTGCAGCGTGAGACACGTATGCCCCGCTTGCTTCAAGGAAAGAGAAGCGGCCTTGTGCACCCTTTTCAGCTACTGTTAACCGTGGACAGGTGATGTGTTTTACATGCAGTATCTCAGTGAATTCTCAGCACAATCCTCTGAGCTCGACATTATCTCTATCCTCCCGATAGAGAAATTGGGGCTCAGAGAGGTGAAGTGACTTGCCCAAGGTCACAGAGCCAGTGAGTTATGGTGTCTGGGTTTGAACCCAGGGATGTGTGAGTTCAGAGCCCACACCCCAGCCAGAAACCGCTCGGCCTCCAGCCCCCAGGGTTGCTCTGGGAGCTGAGTAGGGGCTGGATTTTCAGGCAGGAGATTATGGGGTTCCTGTGTGGTGCTGACAGCTGAGAGTCCTAACCAAGGCCCAGAGGAGATGGTTACTACGCTTGGGGTCGTGTCCTGGGACAGGACCACCCCTTGGCGGAGGTCCTGAGAGGTTGGAGACAGCCCCACGTGGGTGGGGCGCTAACTAACCCTCACTAAGGCAGAGGTATCACTCAGCACCCAGAACTTCCCAGACCCCCCTCCCTGCTTCCTTCCTTTCCATCTGCCCCAGAAGGCAGTCTTCATACCAGCAGACACGTAGTATGTGCTCAGTTCGTGCTGAAGAAGTAAACCAATGATACCTTCAGGTTCTCTCTCATGTTGTTTGAAATCAAACACCAGATTTCCTGTGGCCTGAGATTGTTATCACCTTGCAGGAAAGAGGCAGAGAAGCAAGCCAGGCTTTGCTGAGCACCTACTATGTGCCACAAGCATACATGTTAGTCATTCATGCTTCCTGACACTCTCACAATTGCAAGAATTAGTATTCCCATTTCACAGGTGTAGAAACTGAGGTTCAGATTGGTCAAATGATTAACTCAAAGCTACCCACCAGTAAGTGGAAGTGCTGGGGTTCAATCCCATGTCTTTGACCCCCAAGCCTCTGATCCACTCTTCTCTGCTGTGCTGTGACCACCCCCCCAAGAAAGAAACAGCATCCCTTGTCCAAGAAGTTGCTTACAGTTTGTCAAGACAGGTCTATTTTCTTCTTGTATTTTTCTTCATGGCAAACTGGCCCCTGGGGTTAGTAGGGCAGGTGGCTCAGGAGGTCGGAATGCCCCCTGGGCCATGGCAGTTAGTCCCACCTCGGCCAGCTTCTGGTCCAGGGCTCACTGCACCTGCCGGGCAGGCCTGTCGGTGGCCCTGGAGTGAGACGCTGGCCCAGCCTGGAGGGCAGTCCCGTCCACAGAGGCCCACGGACGCAGGGTGTCCGAGGAGGGCGGCCTGGTCCCTGTGCAGGTGCTCTCGGGCCCCTATCTGATGAAGGCGGATGTGGGTCAGGTGGCCTGACGAGATGACAGGAGAGATTGCTTACAGGGTTAGAGGCTGCCCCAGAGACAGCACGGGCTCAGCTGCAGGGTGTCTGAGGCAGCCGGCTGCCTGCCTAGGCCTGCAGCTGCCCCCCTGTAAAATGGAAGGGTAGGCTGATGGAGGGGCAGGTCCCAAAGAGAACTCCCTCTGGGAGAAAGTGGGATGACCCTGTGGGGACGACTTTGGAGGCCATCAGCCCACCTCCCTTTTCATCCCACCTCTGACTCCACACAGCTCACTTCCACCCTGCTCCCTTGGGCCACTTGCTAGACACACCTAGCTGTGCCCAAGCATTCCTCAGACCTCTAGCAGGGTAGGAAGACGTCTGAGTTCAAATCCCAATGCCACTTACTGAACAACCTTGGCCAAGGTCCCTGACCTCTCTGTGCCTCAGTTTTTATCATCTGTAAAATGGGGATAATAGTCAGAACTACGCTAAAGAGTGGGAATTAAACGAGCCCAAACATGAACATTTCTTAGGACAAATATACCCGGTGTTTAGTAATCATTGTTTGGCCAATGCCACCTCATTCTTACAATTTATGACTCGGTTATACTGTCTTTTCCGCCCAGCAGGGCAACCATCAGGGCCCCAGAGGAAGCACTGGACTAAGAGTACTGAGCCCATAGCTCCCATCTCAGTCGCCCATGACCCCGGGGATGAGGGCCCCCCTTCACCTCTCCTGGTCTGGCTCTCCTCCTGTCGGGTGGCTCCCCTCCCCTCCCAGCACACGTGGGAGTCTGCACGTGTCTGTTGAATGTGTTTGTCCTCCTGGTCGATGCTAGTGTGTCCCTGGCCCAGGGTCTGCCCTGGTTCCGGTTTGTTGAATGAACACGTTCCCTGGGGAAGGTGGGTGATTCGGTGTGGCTATCCCAGGACACTGTGCAATTCTCTCCAGCAGCAGGCCCTTGCCATGGGCCTGATGTTCCTCATCCCATTTAATTAATTCTTCAAACCTAGGGTCCCTCCTATTCCCAGCTTCTAAGATGGGAAGGGGCTCATCTGCTTCAGTCCCCCTTTGCATCCAAAGGCAGCAAGGAAGTGCCAGAATATTGGAGTGGGTAGCCTTTCCCTTCTCCAGGGGATCTTCCTGACCCAAGAATCAAACCCAGGTGTCTCGCATTGCAGGTGGATTCTTTACCATCTGAGCCACAAGAGAAGTCCCTTTCAAAGGTCCCTCCTATTCCCAGCATTCTATAACTGGTCCACAAGCCCTACCCGCCCCCCAAGCCCCTTGCCTACTCTCCCCTGCTAGTCTTCCGGCTGCCTTTGTACCCTTGAGAATGTCTAAACCCTTTCCAGCCTCAGGGCCTTTGCACATGCCATCTCCCTTGCCAGAAACACCACTTTTTACCTAGTGAACTCCTGCTCAGTCGCCACCCACTCAGGGAGACCTTTTCCTTTTACCTAGTGAACTGCTCAGTCACCACCCCCTCAGGGAGACCTTCTCCAGCTCCTCCCTCACTCCTCCAGGAGACATTCCTGCCTGAGGTGCTCACAGCCTCTGCTCCTTCACACAGACCCCTTTGTAAATGCAGGTCAGTTTCGTTTGGTCCTTTCATTTGACGGCTGTCTAAACCCTCCTGAGAGTGGATACCGTGGGCTTTTCTGTTCACTGCTGTATCCTTAGCACCTAGCAAGGAGCTTGACAAGTGGGGGGCATCAGCAGATCTTTGATGAACAAGTGAGCGGTCAGAGAGGCAGGAAGCAGATAGTGCTGTGTGCCTATTTTACAGATGAGGAGCCTGAGAGGCCAGAGAGATTGGGGTGGGGGGATTTGCCCAAAGTCACAGAGCCCATCAGGGTGGAGCAGGATTGGGGCTAGTCCACTGGGCTCAAGTGCCCAAACTCGATGTACCCACCCCTACTTCCTTGACGCCTTTGGGAGCAAAGGGGGACTGAAGCAGATGAGCCCCTTCCCATCTTAGAAGCTGGGGGCTTGAGTGACAGGTCAAGAGCAGGGGCTTCCATTCTGCTGATAGTCCTGGCAGCTTGGAAAGCGCCTAAGGGGTGAACCCCCAAGCCCACCCCCCTTCCCCGAGCCTTCCAGAAGAGCTCTGAGTTCTGACTCTGCCTCCAGCTGTTGAGTCCTGGACTTGTCCCCACACTCCCCATTCTCCAGGTCTTAGCGTTCTCACCAGGAAACCAGAGCGATCCTCCACACATAGCAGGTTGGCTGTGGGTACCTAGACCACGCGTCGGCACAAAGGAGGATGCTGAGCACACAGCCCATGTGGCCCCTGCATCCGTCCTTCCATGGTGACGAGCCACGGCCACAGGCACGGCCACGCTTCTCACCAGTCACAGCCCCAGCTGTGTGTCCGGTTTCCCTGCCTCTCAGCAGGCAGGCCTCCCAGCCTGGAGGATCTCAGTTGTCACCCCTCTGACCTTGTCCTTTTTCCCTGCTGGGTCCCTGCAGCCTCCTGGGTGGGAGGCCGTCCGCAGAGGTCGCAGACAGCGCTCAGTCCGAAAGCGCGATCCTGTTCCACACAGCTGTGTCCCCTTAAGCGAGCGACTCACCCGCTCTGGACTTCTTCTTCTCCTCTAAACTGAGGCCTGAGAACACGAAATTCCCCTGGGGTGGTGATGGGGAGTAACGTGGTGGCTCTTGTGTTAAGTGCCTGCAACATAGCAGGAGCTCAGCAAATAACAGATTTTCTTCCCTCTTCTCCTGTCATTCCTGGATTCCCGTCCCCACTCTCTCTGTTTTTCTCCTTTCTCCTCCTCTTCTTCCTCCAGGGAGTCAGTCTTCCAGTAGAAATGAAAAAAAAAAATATATATATATATATATAAACACACACACACATACACACAAATGTTAAACAGGGACCCAGCACAGTACCTCACATTCAGTGAGGGCTGAATACATATTTGATGACTGAATAATCCAAAGAAATGAATTACTAATGGTGAAATGTCAGGCTGTGGATATCTAGGAGAGAGCATTTAGGGACAGGGGCTCTTCCCTGGGGGCGTAACTAGCCTTGAGTCCAGCCCTGGGCTGAGGCATCCCGAGCCTGTTGACACATCTCTGGACAGGGTATCTGAGGGAAGTTGGGGGTCTTCCTTTCCCCTTCCCAAGGTGGGCAGGCAGAGGGAGTCCCATTCACTGACCCATTCAGGACATAGCAACCTTTAAATCAGGACCTCCAAGCAAACCCAAAGAATATTTCCAGAGCCATAGAGACATGCAAATACCAGTTTAAAACCACCAGGGGAATTGCATTTTCATTCAACGAACCTGTATTCATCAGTTCAATCAATATTTATGAAGGCTGTGTGCCCAGTGCTAGGGATACAATAGGCAAATGAGATTTGTTCCCTATCCCCAAGGAACCCGCCCCCTCCCCACCAAGCCTGATGAACATGACAGATGTACATTAAAAAATTAATTACAATGACTCTGTTGGTGGGGGTGGGAGGGAGGCAGAGATGATGGAGAAGAAATCAGGGAAGCCTTCCTGGAAGAGAAATTGCTGGAACTGAGTTTGAAGGATGAGTAGAAGTTCTCCTGGCAGAGAAGTGGGGGCAGCAAGGCAAACCTTGGAGATCAGAGAGCACACACGGAGACACAGAGGCATGGAAATGCAGGGGGGTGTTTCAGAAGCAAGAAGGGCTTGATGTACAGAAGATAAGGGGAGGGGTCTGGGACAGTCATCCAGGCCTCATGAGCCGTGATAAGGAATTTGGGTTTTATGCTGAAGGCACAGGGAAGCCAAAGAGGGGTTTAGAGGAATTGAGGGAGGGCCTTAGGGTGCAGGGGGTGGGTAGACCAAGGAGGATAGCAGGGGGAGACCACGGTGAGGAGGCAGGATGGGCACATGGGAGTGGCAGTGTGTAAATATTTGTGCATTAACAAAGTCACGTTAACCTAAAGGATGGACACGAATGAGACCGTAGTTTTCCCAAGCCTGTAAAAGGCTGCCTCCCCCTGGGAGTCTTCCCAGAGTAGCTCTTGACTCACCAGGCTCTGTTCTGCCAGGTGGGAAAGTCCCCACTCCCTTAATTAGCCCCTATTCCTGGCCTCGAGGTGGGGGGGCAGGGTCAGCCATGACTGCATACCTGCTCCACCCTGCTGGAGGGTTGGGGTAGGTCCTCTGAGGTGTTCAGATCTGTGGGAAATTCAGGTCCCACGTGGCTTCCTGGGTCAGGTTTATGCTTACCTCCCACAGACCCTGGGCTCAGCATGGGGCCTCACGCAGCCCTGTTTTGGGCTCAAGTTCCCCCACTCACTGTATGACCTGGGACATCTTTTCACCTCTCTGAACCTCAGTTTCCTCATCTGTAAAATGGGGGTGGGAGGATAAAAACAGGATCTACCTTCCAGAAAGGGCTTCCTAGGTGTCACTAGTGGCAAAGAACCCGCCTGCCAAAGCAGAAGACGTTAAGAGACGCAGGTTTGATCCCTGGGTCAGGAAGATCCTCTGGAGGAGGGCATGGCAACCCACTCCAGTATTCTTGCCTGGAGAATCCCATGGATAAAGGAGCCTGGTGGGCTATGGTCCATAGAGTCACAAGGAGTCGGACACAACTGAAAGCTGGTTAGCACTCAGGATTTGGCAAATCTCACAACACGTGTGACACACAGTAGGACGTCAGTATTAATGGCAGCTGGAGTAGCCAGGAGTCAGGCCTGCATCCTCCTTACTGAGGGAGCAAGACCCAGGGGGAGGCTGGGGATCCAGGACCTGGGTTTGCGACTCAGCAGGGCTGACTGGACTTTCAGAGTCCTAGAGACTGGCCCTGCCCAGGCCCCACCGGTGGCATCTGAGGACCATCATACGCCAGTGGGACAAAGGGCTACATGAGGCCCACTCCTCCAACCTCTCCTGGTTGGGAAAATAAGCTCACCCCTGTGTTTTTGCTATGAATAACAGCTACCATTCTCTCTAGCTTATAGACCTGCCAAATAGGTATTGCTGTCCCCATTGTGCAGATGAGAAAATGGGGACCCAGGGAGGTTGAGTCACTTGCCCAGAGTCACACAGCTGGTAAATGAAGGAGCCGGGATCTGAACTCAGCTCTGTCTGACCACAAAGCCTCAGCCCAAGACCAGGCTGTCTCGAGAGACTTTCGGACCTTGGTGGGAGTGGATGGAGGACCCCAACGTTGGTGGAGGGAAGAGTTAGGCCAAGCTGGGCCACGAGGCCTTCTAACGTTCTGTGGTCCCTTAAAGACCACGGGCCTTAGAGAGCCTGAGTCATGAGCCTCAGAGCTCGGCAGCTTGAGGCAGGGACAGACGGACAGGCCTAAATCTCGTGGCACAGATCTAGGTTTGAATCTCAGTTCTGGCCCTCCCTGGCCCTCTAACTCCTAAGCAAGTCATTCAAAATCTCCAGGCCTCAGTTTTCTCCTGTAAAATGGGAGAAGCCCAAACTCTCCATGAGTGATTAGTGGAAGTCAGACAAAGCAGGGATGGCAGGGGCCTTTGGAAATAGCTTCTCATCCCCTGAGGGGCCCAGCCAGCAGCTCTTTGTGATGGCAGCTGCCCTAGGATCCCAGCCCAGGCTTCAGGAGACCCTGAGCTGGGCAAGGCCAGGGCAAGCCTAGTTCTCATTTCTGCTTCCCCTCAAGGGGAGGAAGCCACAGAGAGCCTGTTATCTTCCAGAGGGGACACAGCAGGCCTGAGACTGCACCCCATTCAGCCTCCCCCAGACCTGTCTGGACCCACCTCGTCAGTCTCCCCTGTGCAAAATGCCCCCATCAGCCTGGGCCAGGCTCCCACCCTCATTCCTGGGTGGATGGACCCTCTCCACTTCCCTTCTCTTTTCGGCCCTGGGATCTGCCCCTGGGGAGAAAACTAGCCACGTAAATATCAATTGAAATCCCACTCGAACAGCTCTCCCCGGACCCCTACCCTGTTTCTCAGGTCTTCCCCCAACCCTGACCTCAAGCCGTGTCCCCCACAAGCCAGATCATGCTGGAGGCAGAAGCTACAGGTGATCCTCCTGGCTGGCCCCTGCCTCTCTCTCCCACTTCCCTGTAGGTGACCCTGACCTGTCATTTCCAACCTTCCCAGAGTTGCAACACTAGTGCCATTGTTTGTCTGATTTCACAATGCCTCTGCCTGTCCAGTACCTCCTACCCCCAACATATCCTGGAAAGACAGGCCAGATGCCCCAGGTGTGTCTGCTGTGGGAGGGGGAGGCAAAGGGGGCCGGGGATGAAGGTCTGTGACGAGATTCCACCCTCAGGAATGACCCTGGCGAGCCCCAGACACCTTTTTTCTGGAGGCTTCAGTTTGCTCAGCTATAAAATGGGAGAGCTCCTAGATAAGCGTCTTTCTCGTTCCGGTATTTGATAACGTAAAACTACACATCAGCAGATTCACTCGGGCCTTTATTGTGGCACCTACCGCATGCTGGGAGCTGGAACTTGGAGACAGAGCTGATATGGTCACAAGCCTGGGAGGGAGACAGATGTGAAATGTTGTGGTCAGAGCTGGGCCAGAGTTATGGACCAATTCTGTTGCTGGAATCAGAACTGATTCCAGGGGAGGGGTAAGGCAGTGGCATTTGAGCTGGACTTTGAAGGATGAGTAGGAGTTTGTGGGCCTAAAGCTTCCAAACTCTGCCGTTTAACACTTGGACTGCCTCAAAAGTTAGGGAGTACCCTAAGAGCATCCCAAGAGTTTGGTGTCCCTTAGTGAAGGCCCGGTCCAGCCCTCACAGGGGCCAGGGGACAGGCAGGACTTCGGACAGCCAAGCGGGAGAGTGTGGGCCCTCAGGCGGCCTGTGTCTCTGGCCTTCATGTGTAGGGAGCCCTGGGCTTGTAGTCCTCAGGCTTGGAGCAGGGGTTCCATCTGCCCCCTTCCCACCTGAGGGACCTTGCCCTGGCCACTGCAATGCCTCGGGGCCACACAGGTTCCCCATCTGTAATATGGGTGCTCTCTCCAGCATACTTGTGAGAAGCAAGCGATTTACTGTTTTGCAGGTGGCCTCTGCAAACTAAAATGCACTGGACACGGGAGAGATTATCCTTTCTGGACGGTGGCTCGTAAGCGGGCCCTTGCGGGGCTGTTTGTTTTGTAATCACAGGGAGAGAGCTATGCCCCCAGTCATCTCACAGTCATAAAGGTGGGATTCCTGGCCCAGACACCGTTGTTCCCACCGGACGGGAGCTGAAGTGGGCCTCTCCCCTCTGCCGTTCTGTGCTCGCCCTCACCCCAGCACCTCCAACACTTGTACTTGGCCCCGTGTTGGGGGGCAGAGGCTTCCCCTCCCCGGGCCCTGGAGAAGGGGGTACTCCTGGTATGGCCCCTCCTGAAGTAGAGTATGTGAGTCTGAGTGGAGGGGTAGGGTGACCAGTGGAGTACCCCCATCAGCACCCATCGAGAAGGGGCCGAGATGGGAGGTCCCTGTCTCAGCCTCCCTGAGCGGCGTCCAGGGCTGCTCCTTCCGAACGCAGCCTGGTGCCTCCTCCGCCAGCCCCAGGGGAGCCCAGGCCACCCCACGCATAGCACCCTCAGCTTCTCACCAGCCTCCCTGCATCTCACTCGGCCTGGCCCAGCGGCAGAAGGGGACCCCAGGCAGGGCTGAGGCGATGAAGGGCAAGGGGTTATCTGCGTGGCCGCTGGTGCTCCCGGCTCTCTGCCTCTCGCGGCCCCTCTGCCTGGGCCGGGTTCTGATTTTGGTGCAGTGCAGACTTTCAGCTTAACGAGACAAATTGATATTCTGTGCCAGCCCAGGGATGGAGCAGCAGCTTGGGACGCTCGGGCGGGCAGAAGTGGGCTGGGAGTGGGGGCAGGGGAAAGAGGCAGCTGGAGCCTGGAGCAGCCTCCCGGGGCAGCCCCAGCCCTCACCCTGCCCCTACAGCACCCCTGCCACATGGACAGGTGCCCTAAGACACTGTCCTAAAGGTCCTTCCGCCTTCAGTGCCCTCCTGCCAAGCAGGGCGCCCCTGCTGGAGGGGGCAGGCTGGTGGAGGGGGAGGCTCCGGAATCTAAGAGAGGCCCCTGCACGCACTGTGACCTCCTACCCTTGCTCCTAGGGCTGGCCTCCCCACCCATCAGGAGGTAAGGGGGCAGCAGGTCTGCAGAGAAGAGGTGGGAAGAAGCCGGCAACTGGCTGGGGGAATCCCATTCCTGCAGACTCCTTGTTGGGGGTCCTCTGGACACTATCAGCCCCCCAGCTCATCACAGAGATGTCCCTGCAAATTCTGGAGAGGTGCAAGGCATGCACAGCCCTTTGCCAGGGGGCACTTGTGAGTGGAGAAATGGCCCCTGGAGAGAGTCCTCTGCAGACAAGCAGCCCCCAGGCAGGTCGGGGTGCGCCCAGCCCGGCAGTGGGGCTGTGGGGGTCCAGCGGCTGTGTTCCCATGGCAGCAGGGAGCTCACTGCCAGCCTGGTTCCATTCGTCCTAAGACCACAGTTGTGTTTAGTCTGTGTTGAGTCCACTTGCTCCCCACGTGACCTTTGACCCCAAGATCTGGGGTGTCCTGCTCAAAAAGAGGGGGCACCAGAGCCTCTGCCTAGCTGAATGGGTCCCTCCGAAAGTAAGGGAAAGTAGGGCCATATGGGCAAAATCCTCCCCTCTCTCTCAGTACCCCCCGCACCTCCGCCACTCACCCGAAGGACCCCCCTCCCCTCCAGCAGCCCCGAGCCTACCCTCACTACGCCCTTGACATTCCCTCCTGCTTGGGGGAGCGGGCATATTTCTGGGACTCCGCCAGCTTCAGTTCCTCATGATCCCACGGGGAGGAATTAAAACCGCAAACAACACCGTGCTGGTGGTGGTGGTTCGGTCCACGCACCGCCGCCCCCCACCCGCCTCCCCCAGTCCCCCCAGCCCCCGCATCAGGACGCGCCCTCCCCGCGCCCCTCCCTCGTCCTCCTGTGCCCCCTCCCCCAGCCTGGGCGGCAGCGCGGCGACAGGGGCGGCCTCCACCTCCCCCGAGATCTTGCATTTTGCCGGTGAGATGCTCTCCTAGAAGCCGGCGCCGGCGCCTTCCCGCCCCCCCGCCCCCCCCCACCTGCTCGGGCAGGATGGTGCATCAGGACGCGCCCTCCCCGCGCCCCTCCCTCGTCCTCCTGTGCCCCCTCCCCCAGCCTGGGCGGCAGCGCGGCGACAGGGGCGGCCTCCACCCCCCCCCAGATCTTGCCTTTTGCCCGGGAGATTGTCTCCTAGGAAGCCGGCCCGGCGCCTTCCCCGCCCCCCGCCCCCCCCCACCTGCTCGGGCAGGATGGTACAGTCTGCAGAGGGACCCGGGCACGCCGGCTGGGCTCAGCCGCGGGACCAGCTGCCGCACCGCGATTCTGGTGCTGCCCGCCTGGAAACCGTGCCGGATTTGTGGCGATTTTCGTAGCCAAGTAAGTACCGGCATACCCCAGCATGAGAAATAAAAAATAAAAAGCGCCCCATTTCGCTCTCCCCTTCCTCCCTCATCCATTTTATTTTGTTTCATTTCATTTAAATTTTTTTCAGTGCTGATGCTGGTGGCGGTGGCAGCGTTGGTGGGGGGTGGGGGGTGGGTAGGAGCCGGCTTGTTTATCCCACAGCAGCTCAGGCTGCACTGGGAGCCGGCCCGCTGAGGGAGGTACTAGTGTGAGGGTCCATGTGTTGTGGGGGGAGGGCTGGGGTGCTGGGGACATGGGCAGGGGGGCCTCGGACAGGCGGATGCCCGGGATCTCAGGCAGATTCTGGCCGCCTCTGGGCAGCAAATGCACCTAATGGATGTTACGCAAGGGCCGGCCGGCGGCAGTGGGGAACAAGGTTCTTTTCCTTCTGAGCTTGTCCCAGGGAGACGCAGAGGACCGGAGGGTGCCCCCTGCCCGCCGCGGCCAGAGTCCTGGGAAGGAGGCAGAGGGAGGCCCCCGTGGAGAGTCCCCTTGGTGGGGTGGGCTGCTGCAAAGTGCCAGGGGGCCCCCCTACCTGGGTCAGGCCAGCCGGGCGTGTGGTGGCAGGGGCAAGTCCCCCCGGTTCCTGAAACGGCCTGGAGGGGAGCAGGAGTGGGATGGCCAGCCGTTTCGCAGCAGTCATGCTGGGTGGTGGAGTTGGCACTTTTGTCCCAAAGCCCCGGTCAGCCTCGGTGGCCTCTGGCTGAGCCCTAGGCATCTGGCAGGGGGGCTCCTCCCTGCCCCCAGGCCAGGTCAAGGTTGGGAAATCCAGCAGGGGGCCTCTGCACACCCCAAGGATGAGCTGCCGTGGGCAGCCACCCGTTCTAGCCCAGTGGCCGGTCCACGCCACGGCTGTCCTCTGCTCACCCAGGTCGTGTGGGGAGGGGTCGGCCCAGCCTGGCTCGACCTTCAGAAGGGTAAGTGAGCAGGCGGGCTCGACCAGCAGAGGGTCTCGGTGCGACGCTGAAGGCCCCTTGTCCAGCACGGAGCGGGCTCCTCTCCTTGCCTGCATTGCTCTCCAGGTCACTGGGAGGAGGCAGAGCTGACGTTTGGGGCATCTCCAGGAGCGGCGGGCGCCATCCGGAGAAATTCTCCTTTGACGTGTGCGGGAGGAGGGGGGCTTGGAGCACGGGCCCCGGGGCCCTCCGCCTGTTAACTTCTCTGGAGGAGCAGAGGCAGGGAGGGGGCTGCGTCTCTGGGGGAACCCTGCAGGTGAGGGAGGGGGTGTCCAGGATTGAGGCCGGTGGCCCATATTATTCAGCCACCTTCGTACTCCCCCCAGTCCCATTCTCATCAGGGCACACATACATCCACAGATCCGCACAGATGCACATATACAAATATAGTACACAGAGTAGTGCATCGTATGTGTTCAAATTATACACACACATATGGCGTGCCAGTGCCCCTAGATACACCCCAGCTCATGTGAATACAGTTCACAGCCCTGAATACCACCTGCTCACCTGCAGCATACAGCATGTGCATGACCGCAGCATGCATGTGCTTGCACACACACACACACACTCACACCTGTGAGGACAGCATCCCCTCACATGCATGCCAGCAGCACCAACACAGAAATGCCGTAGGCTGGCCGTGGGTGAGTCGACCTGCACGCCGTGAGGCCCCATAGCAGCTGTGTCTGTGGCTGGGGCCCCGGTGAGGGCTGGCCCCTGTGAAAGTGACAGGCACACACATGTGGCATCCTCAGTGCCATCTGCATGCCTGTCCTTGCGCTGGCAGGTGCAGGGCCTGCTGGAATGTGCCCACAGGTGAATGTGGGTTGCGCAGGTTCTAAGATGGCCCAGGCAGAGACGTAGCACACACTCGCCCCTCAACAGCCAGGCGTCCTTCGTGGGAGTGCTGGGGAGAGGATCGCCCCTCGGGACTGCCTGTGGGGACAGGGGGACACCTGCTGCCACAGGTCTGAGGGGAGGGCCAGCCCACATTCCCAGCAAGCTGTGCCTATGCTCAGCAAGGCCATCTTGGGTTCTTGGCACTCTGCAGAAGTGCCTAGAATTGGAAAGAAAACAGGAGGTGGCAGGGGTGGTCTCTGCCCATGACCCAGACCACCAGGAGCCCGGACTAGCCCCGCCACCCCCTTCTCTGGGTACCTGAAAACCGGCACACTGCTGTGGGGTCTTTGAGAGCTGGGGCCTGGGACGCCTCCGGCAGCCTCCAAAGTCCTCTTCAAACCGAAAGTCAGAAAAGCTGACCCCCTCTGGAGTGGCTGGCCCCCTCCCTCTGTTTTCTCATCATGCCCCCACCCCCCGTCTCTCTCTGCCCAGGACAGGTGAGGGTCAAGGACACCAGGGTAGATGATAATAAGCCTGCTAGCCTTCACTCAACTAATGACTCCATGGTTGGCACTTCAGTGAGGCCTCCTGTAGCCTTATTATCCTCACATCCCAGATGAAGAAGCTGCACAGAGAAGTGAAGGCACTTACCCAAGGTCACACAGCCGGAATGAGGCAGAGATGGGGAGTAGGCTAAGCCACCAGGCTCCCCTCCTCCTCTCCCCTCCTGTGCAAGGCCAGCTCCAATTTGGAGTACCAACCTCTTGAGTGCCAGCTAGCCAAGATCTTAGAATCTGGGAGTGAGGCTCCAAGAAAGGGTCCAGAGGGTCTCCTGTGACTGAAGGCAGAGCCCTCCCCAGGCAAGTGTGGCCCTGTCCTGGGCACCCGGATACCTCTGCCACCCCATGACCCCATAGAATTGATACCTAAGCCCAGCCAGGGGAAGGGACTTGTCCAAGATCATACTGTGCTCAGTGGAGAGTGGGGAGTCTTGCCAGCCCTGCTCTGGTCCCAGGCACCCAGCAGCAGAGGCCTGTTTGGGTCCCTGGTTTCCCCCAGATGTTTGAGTCTCAGGCAAAAGGCTGCCCACGCCAGGCCCAGGCTCTGCCCCCGGGCAGCTGTGTGACCTTGGGCAAGTCGCTCTGTCTCGGCATCTCCGTGTCCTCACGTGTGGCCCGGGCAGACCTGTCCTTGCCCTGCCGGGCCCGCGGCTGGCCGGGGCCCTGGACTGCTGTGGAGGGCTGTGTACAGAGCCATGCCTGGAGCCAGGGCCGGGAGCCGGGGCAGCAGAGCTGCTGTGATTGGCCAAGGTCAGGAGCGGAGGCAAGGATGGGAACCTAAAGAATCACCCGTGGCGGCAGATCTTTGGGTCCCGCAGTACGTCAGGAGGTCCTGGCTCTTCATTGGAGCCCCCGCGTTCTCATCTCTACGGCTCTAAGCCCCCAGGGGAAGCCGAGAGGCATGAGAATGAGCTTTTGGAGCTCACAGAGTCTCGGAGCTGGGCGTGCCCGCCATCAGGCGGCTCCCTGGCCACCACCGCCTCTCGGGAAACTGAGGGTGCCTGGCAAGTTGGTGGCAGAAGGAGACTGAACCTTGGCTCTCCAGCCCTCCAGTTCTCCGCCCAACCCCCAGCCCCTGACATCCACGCGCAGTTAAATCAGGCCTTTCTGGGAGCCGGGCAAGCTTCAGGTCCCGTGTGGCTGGGAGGAGGGCTCCAAGGAGACTCCCTGGGCCTTGGCCATGAGCCCTGGGGATGCCTCACCCCAGCCGTGTCCTGACAGTGGTGACGAGGCTCCTCTCTGTAACTTCACTCTGCCCTTCTCTAGAACAGAGATAGTTTTAAAGTAGGGCTGCTTAACTCAGGGCTTCCTGGGTGGCTCAGAGGTAGAGAACCCGCCTGCCAGTGCAGGACACGGAGGTTCAATCCCTGGGTCGGAAAGATCCCCTGGAGGAGGAAATGGCAACCCACTCCAGTATTCCTGCCCAGAGAATCCCATGGACAGAGGAGCCTGCCGGTCTGCAGTCCATGGGGTGGCAAAGAGTTGGACTCGACTGAGCACGCACGGTTTATCCAGACTAATATTAAGAAGCAGCTGGCACGTAGTAGGTGCACGGTCAAGGCTGGGGCCGTGGGGGAGCCTGGGCTACAGAATGTGGCTCCTCTCAGCCTCTTTAGTTCCCAAAGGGCTGCAGTAGAGGTGTCTGGGGTGCAGGATCTGGGTGCCACATGCACACACACCGGATGCAGGGGGTGGACAGGCGCCTCCCCCAGCCCTGCCTGGAGCACACGGTGCAGAGTAGGAGGCAGGGGTGGGTCTCATGCCCGGAATCTCAGCCCCCACCCCCCACCAGCCCATCCTGCTCTCTCCAAAGTCTGAGCACTGAACCTGCGGCAATTCATCCCTCCCTCCCTCCCTGTAGGAGCCTGAAACAAAATATTTAGGGAGAATGTTCTCCTGGCTGGAGACAACTGGGTGTCTGACTTTACCCCTCCTTGAGAGGCTTTCCTGGTGGTTCAGAGGGCAAAGCATCTGCCTACAATGCAGGAGACCCGGGTCCAATCCCTGGAGAAGGGAATGGCAACCCACTCCAGTACTCTTGCCTGGAAAACCCCCTGGATGGAGGAGGCTGGTAGGCTCTTGTCCGTGTGGTCGCAAAGAGTCGGACACAACTGAGCGACTTCACTTTGTCACTTTTTGAGAGCTGAAAGTAGATGGAGATGGTGTGTCCTGGCATTCCCAGTGGGTGGGTGACCGCCACTGCACAGTTCACCCATCTGTGGAATGGATGACAATGGTACCCACTCCCAGGCTGTGGTAACGCGCGAGTGAAAGAGTGTTGGGCTCAAGATGTGGCTTGTCTTCATGGCTTAGTGAATGGAAACTGTGGAGATGGAGAACTACTGTGAGCGTAAAACCTGCCTCCGCTGCTTTCGAGTGCCCTTCTGTTAGCCCTGCTGCCTCTTGGAGCCTTGATTTTGGACCTGTAAAATGGGACTGTGTTTCCCAGTCTGCCCACTCACAGGACTGCACGGTGACAACGGTTAAAAAATAAGTGATTTCCTGGTGACGTGCTGAGGGCTTCACCCTGCCCTCCAGCCCTCGGAAGCATCTTGCACAACTCAGGAAGCATCTACAAGGTTCCATGCAGGGCGAGATGGCTGGGCCAGATACG